GATGATTGATTACCATTTAGAGGAAAAGGTTTTACTTACTGTAGCCAATGAAATGCAGAACATTCATGATGAACATCAATACTTAGCCCCACTTTCAGTAATCTGTGCTATTTGTTTTGGTCCTGACTTAATGACATGACTTAATGAACCTTCATTAATTTGCTACAGGACTGTAATGAGAGCTGATCAGTCTAGTCATCCTAAGCACATGTGATTTAAACTCAGTCACTGGTGGTCAAAACTAACCTAAACACTGAAATAACTACAGTCCGGTAATGGTCTATGTTGTCTTCACCCCCATTTACAACCCAGTCTCACAGAAACATTTATACTAGCTACGCTGGTCCACAATGTCAAACTTACTAGTCTCACAATGACGCCTTGAAAACTGTGACATTGGAAAGTTTTTCTGGATTGAAACAACATCTTTCTGGCAGCAAAAATGAAAGACAGTGGCTGACATTCCGTATACAAAGTTAAATGTAGGCACAACAACTACATGGCAGGGAATTAAAGCCCCTGGATTTGGTTAAAACACTCAAATGAATGAAAAGTATAATATCACACAAGGGATTCAATCTGATTGTGTGACAGTCAGGTGTTTGTTGGACCCATCCATCAGCTACCTAATGCACCATTTCATTGTTTGCCAACCCCCATAAAACACCAAGAAGAAGAACAAAGAAGGACAGTGTGATGCAATACAAAAAAACATTGCTTCTGGCAGCAAAAATGAAAGACAGTGGCTGACATTCCGTATACAAAGTTAAATGTAGGCACAACAACTACATGGCAGGGAATTAAAGCCCCTGGATTTGGTTAAAACACTCAAATGAATGAAAAGTATAATATCACACAAGGGATTCAATCTGATTGTGTGACAGTCAGGTGTTTGTTGGACCCATCCATCAGCTACCTAATGCACCATTTCATTGTTTGCCAACCCCCATAAAACACCAAGAAGAAGAACAAAGAAGGACAGTGTGATGCAATACAAAAAAACATTGCCATGTCACAATTTCACAGCTGTTATTGTGACACTACTACATTTTATGCTGTGGACCAACATAACTATTTTACATTTTCATGTGAGTCTCGGCTGCCATTTCTCATATCTGATAACCATTCCAGCAGCATCTTCTTCTTCTTCTCTTAAAACTGTCAAATGATAATTAATGGATGCTAATTACATCATCCCCATCACTTTCTTTCTGGTTGAATGTGTAATTACGTGTGAAAGCAGCATTAGCTATTAGAGCATAACATCATTGTTTTATGTGGAGGATATTAAATGTTATTGAATAAATATAACACACATATGATTCAATGACTCATCAAATTCTTCTAATTAAATGACTCATCTTGGCTTGGACGGAGTGGAAAGATTAACGTGTCCACCTTAGCCAGCAGCAGGCTCACTGGTCTGAACTGTTGATTTCAGTCACAACTTTTAAATAGAAGTTTTAAAGTTGGGCTAAAGATGCTAAAGAATAAAATCACTGTGTGTTTGCATCCCCATCCTTTGCTTTTTATTATTGTTCCATTTTCAATAATCTATCTTGACACAGTCTGGATTAATGCCTTTGAACCACTGCAATGAATCGATTCCTTTCTTAGGTAATTTACTTGGTAATGAGACACAGTGAAGAAGACTGTATCAGTGTCCACTGAGAGGATGTAATCTGTTCTCCCTATGATTCAGCTGCGTTAGAAAAACTTGGGCTGCTAATTAATAAACCATAAAACAATCATTAGGTTTTTTCTGAAGGGCTTAATATGGTTAATTTGCCCCTCACCTTCCTGCCACCCAACGGTGCCTCTCTGTCTGTTACTGAACTTTGTCACTGTCTTTCACACAAGCAGATAAAATGGCTGGTGTGATGTATAAAACCTCTACAAGTTGATGTGTGTGTGTGTACATAAGCTTTGTGTACATGTGTGGATTATAGGCTATTCTCTCTTGTCTCTATAAAACAATTTGTATCAATCAGTGTTGTTCTAAATGACACAGCATGTCAACAGCAAACCCAAACAAGAGTGGCTTTCAATGCAAGAGATAAAATCAAAAAGCCATTTTTGGGTATCATAAACGAAGCTCTGTCTGGATATTGATGCCATTTATTACCTGACAAGGTTGGTTATAGATAGCTTGGTGGAAAAAGGGGTAAAGCGCTGCCCTAATGCTCTGAGAGGCCTGAAATGGAGAATCACTATGATGGAAAAATCTATTAACCTTGGCCTGGAAGTGAACTGGTTGATCTTTCAGCACGATTTTATTTGTTGACAAATTTTGCTCATGACATTGTGTATGTGTGTGCTCACACTGACCCTTGAATATATGAGTACTATAGTAGTATGTGTGCATTCAAATAACCATATAATGTGTATGTACAGTACAAGAGCAGAGAACTTGCAGAGGAAAATCAAGCATCAGTATGAGAAATAGTACTTATTGTGGACAGTGAAATTAACAGTACATGTGTGGCTTTTATTTTTGCACCTCTGCTTTGGTGGTAGTGGCGTCCTGCTTGCAGTTAAAGTGCGGAAATGTTTTATACTAATAATTCAACGCATAGAAAACAACAGCGTACTCATCAGCAAATGTTAACATCGGAGTTGCAAAGTCAGAGCTGAACCTGTGGCCCTCCTTGAAACTGAGAAATACTCCTTCAGAATTCACAAACATCCTCTCCTTTCATTTCCCCTTTCTCAGCCCAAACACTCAGGCTAATTGACTAGAAGTATGAAGATAGCAGGGAGTAAAACCATGCAACTGGGCTTACCTTAGCGTATTCATTGCATCTTCCTCCCTTCAGTATGACCCCTATGTCCTTGATTTTTGCATCTCTGCTCAGAACAATAAACAGTATAGTAAATACTGTATGTAAACATAAAGTATGCTGTACAGTGCAACAATATATAAATATACTACAGTATCATTAACATACTGTATGTCACTGTAGTATTTACATTTTTAGAATTTATGGTACTAAACTAATGCATTTAGATGAAGTGATAGCTTGTCATTGAACATTATTCTTCATTTTAATCATGTAAATTTTACAAACAGTAGCATTCATTCCAGGAGGAAAGTATTTAATATATATTTTGGTTTATATCTAATAGATGGTTTCACATTAGTTTTTTTTTCTGCATTCTCTCTGACTTAACAACATTGGTCCTCATTTGCAACACAAAACTTTTTTATTATTCACTTTTAATTTAATTTAAATTATTTATTAAGTATCCAGTTATTACCGTGACTGGGTATGCAGCAAAACAAATCACTACCCAGTATTTTTTGCATATTACTTGTATGAGCTCCACTCAATCCCCTCTTTTACACATTTTCATTACTGGCACATTTGTTAAGATTTATGATTTAAGCTTCATTTAAAACCCTCATTTAGATATGAGGTTGTTTTCCACACATCATTTCCCTTGTCTCAAACAAGTGACATATTGCATGAGGAAACTGAAGACAACTTGTAGGTGAAAATCTCTTTTTGGCCTCAATTGTCTTATACAGTTTCCAGCATAAGTGAATACACTCCATCTGAACATAAAGATAGATTTATGCTTCTAAAAGATTACCATTACATCTAATGGAAATGTGAAAACATTAAAAATGTACTACACATATGCATGACAACAACAAAGGAAGAATTTTTCACCAATAAAATAAGTTAATTAGGCAACTTTACTCAGAAAAATGAGCACACCTTTGATTAAATTCTTGAAAAATGTAATATTCTTGTACTTAGTATGTCCTGCTTTATTTTATGTACATGTGCACAAGAAATTGTCAGACTGATCCTGTTCCAGTCAAGGAAGATGACCTCCTTGAGCGCCATGATGTCAGATGAGGGTGCTCCTCAGCTCTTCAAAATTCCCCACACACATTCAGTTAGACGGAGGTTAGGTGATATTATTGGCCACTGCAGTACTTCAACCTTGTTCTTCCTTAAGAATGCAGCAGTGACCTTGGATGAATGTCTAGAATCGTTGTCATGTTGAAAGTGTTGATGACCCAGGGTATGAAGAGAGAGCAGGTTCAGGTTGTAGTACATCTGCAAATTTATGATGCTGCTAGTGCAGTACAACTCTCCCACACCATTAGTGCTCATACATCTCCATATGAGAAGGTTCCCCCAGCCGTGCTTCACTGTGGAACCATGCAATTCTCACTATACTTCGCCCCTTTGTGATGCTATATATGTTGGATGTGATCAGATTCAAAAAGACTGACTCATCATGCCAGAGTACGGATTCCCAAATCTCTTTAAGTTTTTCAATATGGGCCTTGGTAAAAACCTAAACAGGATTTCTTGAGCAGCCTTCAGCAATGGCTTCCAGCATGAGCAACGAAAATGCATTGCACTTCTATGCAAAGTGTATTTTATTGTGTGAAATGGAACAGTCACTCCAGTTTGGCACCCACAGCTTTATTCAGCTCAAAGCACTGCTTTGCAATTCTCCTGCACTGCTCTGTACAACTTTTGTTTCTGTGTTTTGACTTGCTAACAGTGATTTACTTATCCTCCTGTACCCTTGTTCTCTGTTGTACAATTAAATGATTTTCTTCCTCAGGTCTCCTGGCGGTTCTCTCCCATGTGGTGTCATTGTTGTCAGCATTAAGTCTGTGAGAGATTACCAGCTGAAGTACCGCTTTTAATTGCCAAACACTTACACATGTTTGAATGTGATGGTTCAGTGGACTCATCTGCAAATCAATTGCCCTTAAATAGCACCAAAAAACAATTTGACTTTTATTTTATAACTAAGTAGGGTGTATACTGGCTTTTTAGCATTTTGTTAAGAAAAACATGTTTTTGTTTAATACTGACATTTCATTGGTAAATTATACAAACAGCATTGCTGAAACATTATGTAATTAAGAATCCAAAATACTGTTTTATGGTTAAGGAGAAATAGTCAAATTTGTCAACTTTTACTGAGAGTGTACTCACTTATGCTGCATCTTTCTTCTGCCTCTGCAGGCTTTGGGATGACAACACCAGTGACAGTTGCAGGCAAGGTGTTTCTGATCTTTTATGGGCTGTTGGGCTGTGCTGCCACCATCCTCTTCTTTAACCTCTTCCTGGAGCGCATCATCACACTACTGGCTGTGGTGATGAAGGCCGTGAGGGAGCGGCGAATCAGAAACACCGGTCTACTCCCACCGGGCATCCACCATGACTTCTCAGCCTACTCCCTCCCAGGCTGGAAGCCCTCCGTGTACCATGTGATGCTGATTCTTGGCCTGTCGGCCATCACCATCTCCTGCTGTGCATCAGCCATGTACACCCCAGTGGAGGGTTGGGCTTACTTAGACTCGCTCTACTTTTGCTTTGTCACCTTCAGCACCATTGGCTTTGGAGACTTTGTTAGCAGCCAGAGTGCAGCTTACAAATACCAAAGCCTTTACAGAGTGGCCAACTTCTTCTTCATGCTAATGGGTGTATGCTGCATCTACTCCCTTTTTAATGTCATCTCTATTGTCATCAAGCAGGTGCTCAACTGGATGCTGGAGAAAATGAGCTGCTTGTTTTGCCAGCGCTGCAATAAAGCTAGCGCCTTCCTCGGCAGACGCAATGCCATCCGCCCGGGCTCCAAGGGGCGCCAGGGACGGTTTGGCCAGACGTCTGACTCAGACGGGCCCTGTGATAGTGACACTGAAGGGCGCAGATTATCAGGGGAAATGATCTCTATGAAGGACCTGGCGGCCTCTAACAAGGTGTCGCTGGCCATCATGCAGAAGCAGCTGTCTGAGTCCGCAAATGGATATCCCAGGACAGTCTGTAGCAGCTCACGCCATAATGGTTTCTCCGGTGGGGTTGGTGCCCTCGGTATCATGAACAATAGGCTAGCAGAAACTAGTAACTCCAGATAGAGGATAGTGTGGGACAGGAAACAAAGACTATATGACAAATCCTGAGATTGTTTGCTATACAAAAAGTACAAGGCTTTTGAAATGAATTGTCAGTGTACCTTCTTATGCATGATACATATGATTTTTGGCTACTTTTGGTTCAAACTACAAGCCTGTGGTGACAATAAAGGTAATGTAGTGATGATTTGATCTTGATGGCATAAAGAGAAAACCACAGTGTCAACAAAATACCATAAGCTGATCTGGACACATGGGGACCACCCATCACCCATACCATTCACCTGCAAACCCAACTGAGAACAAATCACTCAAAGTTTCTTAAATATCAGTGTTAGTCTGCACAGGTAATAGTCTGTTATACAAGCTCAATATATTAGACTTATTGTTTTAGGGTTTTGCCAGTTTATTTGAATGTACAGAAAAGTGTGAATGATATAGCACATACTAATCTATGCATTATATACTTATCATGCATTTTTTGCACCATTTCTACACTTTCAATTGGTTGTACAAACCTTGTTCTCTCTTGACACTGGTCAAGCTTTACCCTCAGGCAGTTTATTCCATTTCTGGGGGCAGGTGTGGGAAGTAGAATTTTGTTAAGTGTAGCTGCAATGTAGCTGATTTTGACAGGGCTGCAGCGAGGGGCAATTTTACACTAGCCCACACTAACAGGCGACAAACAGTACTGCTCAAGATGGAGAAAAGAGCAGAATTGAAGAATGAAAATCCATTTCTCAAAAGAGAGGAACTGGACTTCTTATCAGCTCAGAACATGCTTCAGTGGCCAAAGACTGACTTGAAGGGTAAAAGAAGGCACCTCCCAACACTTTTTCTCACTTGTTTTTGAAGCTCAAAGCTGTCTGCAAGGGCAACAAATGACAAAGAGTTGCAATGTATGAATTACTCTTTGAATGCAGAATGTATGTATTTGTAAATCAGAATAAATTACAAGTACATTTATGTTTGTTTGAAGTGAAATATTAAGGAGTGGCGAGAGGTAGCAAAGGTGGAGAAATTTGGATGGGCTTAGCCCATAGATGCATTATGTTAAATGATGCAGATTGGAAGTAGCCGGAATGGAAAACAAACCCCAAAGGATTCTTTTACCTGCACTGATTTATGTTTTGTGTGGATGTTCTGTATTCATCATGGGGGACATCTTTGCAGATATATGGCTCTTACCTTGCAGAGTTTGATTTTCCTCTTGATTTCATTGTAAATGTGTAGCAGAGGTTGAATGGATGGAGATTGTCTGCAGAGGATACGATGCTATCCTGCCTCTGCTGCACAATCGATGTCCTTGTTGCCGGAAACCATTTGTTCCTGAGCATCTGTGATTTTAAGTGGGGTGATAATGTTTGATGAAGACAGGGGAGGAGGCACTGATAGTTAAGCTGTCCAGGAGAAAATGATCAAGGAAGAGAACTAGAGGGAAAGGTAGATGGCAGCTGGAGAGATAGAAAAGCTGGTGTTAATTGACTCCTTTCATATCTATACTCATTCCCAGTGCATATCAGTGGCCTCTCTCAGCCAAGGGCTCAACTTCTCCTAGCATCCATCTTCGACATATGTCCTTCCTGGCCACTCACTTCTATTTCTATTCCCTTGTTATCTCAGCATTCACTTCACACGCACTGCACCAAAACCCTCCTGCTTCCTTTTTCCTGCAGACCTCAGCTTTTTCCTCGCATTCATCACCTTACACTGTGAATATGACACATGCCATTAAAGTACTGTACATGCATTTATAAACATTAGAATGTCTTAAAAAGATTTATTCTTAGTTGTCATTTCAGTATATAGATCTGAATAATTTCCCTTGATCCCCAGTCTCAGCAGGAGGAATAGAAAAAATGACTCAGGTAGTTAAATCTTCAGGCTTGTCTTAGTTTTTTCCTGCATGCCATTATGGTAAAGCCATAAAATATAGCTGTAATTAAAACAGAGAACTATTTAAAGTCTATTTTTCTAACTGTAGCTTTGAAATATCTACACATGGACGACTGAAGAAGTCTCACCTTCACATCACCTGCACAGTCTGTCAGCGAATTGACCAGATGCAGCATTCAGAAATTAGCTACCCTCTAAAAACAGATTTTAGGGTTAGGAAGTATACAGGTTGACATTTTGGGAAATATGCATTAAAACTACAACAAGTACTTTTTTACACTATAGTGACATTAGACATTAATTTATGAGCTTTAGATGTGTTGGTGCAAGGATTTTGTAACCTTTGGACGAGGTCATGCAGACTAATGGTTTCCCACTGTTTACAGCTTTTATGTTAATTCCAAATGTGGGGTACACCCTGGACAGCTTGCCGGGTTTAGAGTCACCAGTTAACCTAACCTGCATGTCTTTAGACTGTGGGAGGAAGCCAGAGTACCTGGACAAAACAGTGCTAACCACTACACCACTGTGCTGCTTGCCCATATATTTTCCAAAATGTCGATTTTTCCCTTTAACACATCCCAACTGAGTAACTAATGAGCAGCTGAGTGAGTGTATATTTGTGATGTTACATGCGTCTGGCAGCACAGAGGGGTCAGTTGGTTGCCATACAGCTGTTAGCAGTGATATTGCAGGCTCTGGGACATTTGAGCAGAGCATGTGCATGATGTAGCAAATGACATACTTTGACGTACAGTAGTAAAAATGAAATAAAAATATCACAATTCAGTGATATTGCCCCGCTGGAAAATGTCACAGAAAGAGCTGTTTTGCTGGCACTTCTCAAGAATAATGATTCTTGAATGATGTTATAAGTGAATCTTTGTTTTCCATAAGGTTAAAGTGGCAGAAGTGTCAGGAGTGCTCACAGATTTCTAAAAGCTCCCGCAGCTATCAGTTAGCTGCATGGTAATCTTAGCCTTACTTTTTAACCTTAGCCTACATTTGACAAGGAGCATGTCTGCATATGCATTTGTGTGTAAAGGCCTGAAAATGAGAATTAAAGGACTGTGACATTTAATCTTACATGCATCCTTAAACATAAGCCCCACAAAAGTTATTAGACTCAATATAATATCCATTAAAATATGTTTTCCTTCAGTCTGAAACACATGAAGCTTTTTTAGACATTGAATATAGTATGTAGGGTAGTTTGCTCACCTAAAATGCATGCATAGCTTGAAATCAATTGCCTTACTTTAGTCTTTGCATATTACAAAAAAAGTTCCTCTTTGAAAATATCATAGTGTGTAGAGCTTGTGTTGTACTATACAATCCTTTTTGCATTTTGCAAAATTGATCTCCATTGATTGCAATGGTTTTAATTTCCACACTGTCCTCTGTATCTTCTGTAAGAAGAGACAGCTGGTCATAGGTTTGACCATATGTTTGTACTTATTATTAGCAGAAATGACTCTCAAATGCGATATTGCTGACTTTTCTTTTTATTGTAAGTTATCACATTAAATTCATGTTCTCATTAAAGAAATTAGATTGAAGCAATGCAAAATGTTCAAGCCCACTGTTTGTACATACAGTAGTCTGGGTGCACATAGCAGACTTGGATCACAGCACTGAATAATTTGCAGTCAAGTTGTTAGCGTCATCTTATAAATTGTTAAAATCAACAGTGCCGGTGTGTGGCGCAGAGTACTGCATTCACACTGGCAAATCTGCTCTGTGGTTAACAGATCTTTGACCATAAAATAACTCCATTAAAATGTCACGCTCCATAGCTGATTTGTTCAAAGCAAGCAGAGACTGGAAATGTTGTTAATGTTAATCTGAAGGCTGTTGATAGTGCTAATGGCATTATCATTTATTCAGCTATTATTTCTGTCTTAACGGTATGATACACAATATTGTGATTACTGTGTAATACAGCTTCCTCTGAGGAAGAGTCGCATTGTTGGCTTTGATCTGGAGCTTGATTTCCAAATCCACGGGACATGCGCCCCTGTTGTGTGTAGTTGTTTTTTTTTTTTTTTTTTTTGTGTAAACCAATGATAGCAAGCTACAAATCACATTTAGATCTCAGTTTAAAGCTGCTTCTGGTGTTGGCAATCCAGAATTATGTTGACCTTCGCCTCTACACACATTACCATAATCCTACATCTTGGTGTTTGTCCCATGTATCTCAGTTTAAAGCTGCTTCTGGTGTCGGCGATCCAGAATTATGTTGACCTTTGCCTCTACATACATTACCATAATCCTACATCTTGGTGTTTGTCCCATGTTGCTTGCATTGTGGTGTAACATCCAGTTAATGGATGCAAATTATTGAGTTTGCAAGTTGCACATTTATAACAATGACTGTACTTTTATATTTGTGTAATTAAAAGTAAAACCTATATGAAACAAGAAGGGGTTCCATTAAACACTGATATTTACTGATGTTCTTTGATTTTTGTAATGGCTATTCTGTGATAATGACTTTTAACTGCAGTGTTCATGGATTATATCAATGCTGAGCAACAATATAGTAACACTACATCCATAATATTTGGGGTTAATGACACAGAACTGACTTGGCTGAAGTGATGCACTCCTATCTGCTTGACATTTTGGCACTCCTCTTCAAGTGCCAAGCTGGACATATCACAGCTTTCAGAACAGGTCTACCTGTTGTAATTTTGAATTAGGTATTGATGATAGCTGTTTCCCTTCATTTCCAGTCATTACGCTAAGCTAAGCCAGTCACCTGCTGTCTGCAGTTTTACACCAATCAGCCATAACATTATAACCACTGACAGGTGAAGTGAAAAACACTGATGATCTTGTTACAATGGCACCTGTCAGTGTGTGGGGTATATTAGCCAGCAAGTGAATATTCAGTCTTCGAAGTTGATGTGTTGGAAGAAGGAAAACCAGGCAAGCATAACGATCTGAGTGACTCCAACAAGGGCCAAACTGTGATTGCTACTGGGTCAGAGCATCTCTCAGACTGCAGGACTTGCTGGCTGTCCCCAGTCTGCAGTGGTCAGTACCTACCAACAGTGGTCTAAGGAAGGACAAACAATGAACCAGTGATAGGGTCATGGACGCCCACTGCTCACCGATAATGAGGTTGACCTACTGTAGATTAATCTTTTAAATGTCATTCATCCTGTTCAAAAGATTCCATTTAGTCTGAATCTATAAAATGGAAGAAAATGAGAAAAACTGTACACCGGTCTCTATGAAGAGAAGCATTCAGCAGCTATAGTGATGATATCACACCTGGATGAGGGAGGCTGTTGAATTTATTATTATTAACTATTAATAAATCTATTAGTTACAACCTATAAATCCTATATAAAAAGGTTCATAAAGTGATATCAAAATTTGAAAAAACATGGTGAATGGTTTCAGACTATAAAAATGCATTTCTGACATGAACAGAAAACTCCAGTACCTGCTGCTTTCAAACTCACTGGTTAATTTCAGATCACTGATTTTTAAATAGCACATCAACAAATGCTATCTTTGATTTATTTATTTTATTTCATTTTCAGGTGAAGAGAGAGAAAACAGGTGGTTTATTTTGCCTTTAGTGAAGCTCTTGATTGTGTTCATAAAGACAACGGTTCTCGCTATGTTACTCTGGCAAATTAACTTTTCTGTACCCTGTATTTCCTTCAGACATTCTACCAGAACACATACAGCTTGCTGAAAGGACCTTGAAACAGCATGACTCTTCAGTAATGAGTCTATCAGGATGTTAGTCATAAAGGGGACTTGCATTTGCATTCATTATTGAAATGAGTCTGATCCCAGCAAATTGTGCTGAAAAACAACATACATTATCTCACTGCACCAGGGTTAAGAGAAGTCTGCGGAGAGAAAATGTGCCTCAAAGTCTGCTCATCATTAATTTTCTGTTTCTAGAGCCATTTAACAGTCCAAAATAGTTGTTAGAGGAATTAACACCCACCTAGACTTACTGCAGTTTTCCATCTACTAAAGCTAGGCCTCATTTGATAGTTTTTGTTTTGGGGGACTTGATCAAAATAACTGCCTGTTTTCCAAAAGAAATGAAACAAGAATAAATCCATCTTTGCTGCAACACATTCAGTTCAGCTACAGTATAACAGCCCAAACAGCTCCTATGTTTAAACAGTAAAAAAAAAAAAAAAATCCTTGCATCTTTTCTTAGTTTCCCCTTGCTAGGCATATAGACAAACCTCTTAGTCACACTGGTACAGTGTGAACATGAAATTATCCCAAAGGGAGACAGACTGCAGTTAAACCTCCAGCACCACGCTGAAGTGTTTCCACTGGGTCTCTGCTGGTGTCAGAGTCATGTGCCTCAGTTGCTTCACTGCAGCAGAAATCTCAGATTCCCCGCCATTTGTCAAGAACGGTTCACACTGTTCTTTTGCTCACTCTCCAGTTCAATTAACAAAATGTGAACAGTCCTATTACAGTTGCAAAATGCTTCTTTCTTTCAGTAAAAAGAGGACTATGCACTCCACTATGCATATACTTAGGGTTGTCACAGATGATTTCAATGCCAAGTTGATGAAAATCAAGTCTTCTTTAAAAATTTGTCAAGTCAGATACGTACATCGTACATCGTCAGTCTTGAGAAGAGACTGGCAGGCACTGATGCAGTTTAAATGGCAGGAAGTTCTGAAATAGTTCCCAGCCATTTCTTCCTGGGAAAACCTACACCGCCCAGTTAGAAAATGATTGAACCTTTTCCAAAAGTGATAGCATTTTCTTGACTAATTTTTAAATTACCCCTCCAGCAGGAACCACTAGGCTGGGGGCTGAGCGCCAGAGACAGACTAGGGAAGCCAGAGAACATTAAAAGGTCTTCTACCACATTGTTGGTTTCGGTCTTTCCTGGGATTTGTTGCCAATAAACAAAACATGAAATTTCAGACTTGTTTCTCAGTCAAATACATTAGTTATTCAGTCACATTTATTAAAATGTTTTTCAAAATGAACATCTATATTCATAAACTGTGTTAGCTACTAAAGGAAGTACACACAAAGGACTCTTGAAACATCTAAAGGGTCTGAGCACTGACTTACTACTCTAGAGGATATAACTGTCGACAGTATGAATTTTGACATTTAAAAAAAAGCACTGTACTAATGGGGTTAATTACTTCATTTGCCCTCAGCATCCTCGGGGTCTTTACATTCATATTTTAACCTAAGGCAATAAAATGTATAGTCACATTAAGGATCATTTTCCACCCCGTAACTCCTTACACATCCCTTTCATGTGCTGTGTAGGTGACCGCTGCTTCATTAATCTTTCCAGAATACACATGGGGAGCGCTGCTGAAGTGGCTTGTAGTGCTCTATTGCTATCTGAAGAGACTGAGACATATCCGAATTAAAGGTAGAGTGTGAAAATCAAAAGTCATTGTGGAAATGAGACGTTTACAT